TAGATTGAAGTTCATTTGTCTCGCATATGGATCTCCAGTCATCCTAGCACCTTTGTTGAACAGACAATCCTCTCTCTACTCAATTGTCTTTGTCCTTTTGTTGAACATCAGCCTGTCCATATCCACGCGACTATTTCTGGACCTCGTTAGGCTCCATTGGTGTGGTTCTCAGTGGTTTTGCCCTTAACACACTGCTTTGAAGTTACTGGGCTTGATCTTTATGAGACTGACGCGCTGCCCACTGCGCTAAGAAGGCGGTATGGGCTTGATCTTTAAACATTTAATTGATAAATCACATATACCAGTTGGAAAACTCAAGTCTCTCAATTTTTACCTTATTTTTATTATTTATTTCCAAGAGAGTGTTTTTGGTTTTGGTTTTGGTTTTTGTGAGAAGTGGGCGGGGGGATAAGCAGAGGGAGAGAGAGAACCCCATCAGATTCCTGCCCAGCACAGAGCCCAACACGGGGCTCGATCCCACAACCCATGAGATCATGACCTGAGGTGAAATCGAGAGTCACAGGCTTAACCAGCTAAGCTACCCAGATGCCCCCCTAAGTTTTTTTTAGAATAGTTTGTAAATGTTCCGGTTTTAGGGTTGCAGTATCTTGTCCCTCTGAGAGAGCAGTTTTTGTTTCATTTTGTTTGAAAGTTTCTCTGCTCCCTGCATGGTCTGAGACTTCCTCTTTCTCCCCCACTTATTTCTGTCTCTGGCTTTCTGTTGGAGGCTTTCTTCAAACGTCGGAAGATTCTGGTAGGCATCTGTATTTGAGAGTGAAGCAGTAAAAAGCAGATTGAATGCTGTGTTTGGCATTGGCAGGTGAGCTTCCCTGTAGGCTGAGCTGGCAGGAACAGGGCCGTTTTGTTGGAGGGGTTCCCCAAATGTCGGGATGGCGTGACTTATGGGCTGGGCCGTTTGTTTCTCCACAGGTGAGGGTGGGGGGCATGCACCTTTCCATCATTGTCCTGGGTACCGAGGGAGCAAGAGATCGTCCACAACAGCCTATCTCCAGCCCTCGCCTGACCCTAGCTGTGCCCCGGTGGTCCCACCCAGAGCCCCCCTCTCCTCCGGTTCATTTTCTGCAGAGAGCAGACCTGTCTCTCACACGCCTGGGGAGGGGGTGTCCTGTTTGAGGGCCTCAGGGAGGGGAGCCAATCTCACTGTCTCTTCCGTACACTTCCAACCCATCCTCCTGTTTTCGCCTCAGCTGGAGAAGTGCGTGGTGCTTCCAATTCTTGAGTCTTTCCCAGGTTCTGAGGCACAAATGGAATCACCTTTCTTTGGCTTCCTCTGCTAGGTTGGCTTTGTTTCCGCTCATTCCACTCCGAGGTCTCTTCCCATTGGGCCGCCTTTCCGTGTTTGTGTGCACTCTTCTCCTACTTGTTACCTTGGGCAGGACAGAGATACATGCACCCTTGCAGTTTGTTGTATTTGGTGGAAGGACATTTCTTACGCTCCCCTCTCTCCTCCCTTCCTGCTCTCTTCCTTCCCTCCACCCCCATGCCCCCTTTCCTCTCCTCTCCTCTCTCCCCCTTCCTCCCTGCCTGGAGTCTTCCATGCCATAATTCTTCAGGGAGACAGCCAAGCACTTTATCCTCAAGAGGAAACAGCCCATGAAATGCAGAAAGGATTGGCTGAGGAACTGCAAACCGAAGTCCCCAACCTACAGGTGCAATAAACCTGTCCTCTGCCACCTCGACACTCCTTCCCATCCCTCAACTGCAAAACCCCGTAGTGACCACATCCCAGCCCACCTCACACCCAGACCTTGCTCCTTGTCACCTGCATCGTGCCAGAGCCGCATGTCTACACGGCCACCCCATTTCTGCCTCGGTGCCCTCGCAGGTCCCTGAGCAGGTGTGAGTTCCTAGGTCCACTCCAGTCACTGTTGAGCAAGGTGCCCTGTTCTGGGGGCTTCCGAAGTCAGGGCTGTGAGGGCCCCTCCTCATCAGGAGCACCCAGAGCATACTGTCCCCAACACCTTCCCTTCCTAAAGTCTCCAGCCCAGGTACAGAGTTGTCAGAAGCTTGGCCTTTGGTCACGCTCCTGGGCTGTCTGCCCCGTGGAAGCAGGGACCCGGCTCTTGTGTCGTCCCTCGCCACCCCGCCTCTTGCCCTGTATTATTGTTATTTTTAAAAACAAGAGGGTCACCCCCTTCAATCACAGGTGGGGGGGCTCCCTCCGTAGCCACAACCCTCCCTCTCTGCGCACCGGAGCCCTTCCCCAGGGCCTCTCCCTGGAGAGGCAGCCACAGTGCCCAGCTGGCTCTTGGCTAGGCTCTTGTCAACGTCTGAAGAGTGAATGTGGCCACGGCCCTCATCTGCAGGCTTTGCAGGAGAGTGGGAGCAGCTGAGTAACTTTCCCTCCACTCATCACTTCCCACCCTCCCTCCGTCTCCTCCTCAGCCCTATAACTCACTCCATTTGCCCAGGGCTCCTGGGTGCACAGCACTAACACCCACCCACGGGGTGGTGCCTCGCAGGGCACTTCCAGGGGGTACTGAGCTGCGCGGGTGGGGGGAGATGTTTGCATTTTACAGATGAAGCAGCTGACCGGGGCATCCCACAGACCTCAGGCCTTGCCAGGGTCTCCCGGCTGGGAGAGAAAAACCCCATTTTGACCCCAGGCTGCATGACCCCACATCCCGTAGTCATCCTCTACCTGGGGGAGTCTGCCGGGGTGGGGGGCCGGCGAGTCCCAGGCTGTCCTTTCTTGTTCTGCGTGGTAATTACTGTGTTTTGGCTGGAGGGGTTCCTTGGTTCGGGGCCCCACGGGAGGGAGGTAATTACATCCTTTGAGACGCCCTCCGTCAGCAGCTCCCTGTCAATCCCTGTAACTAAGACTTGCTCTAACCTTTGTCCCTTCCCCGTTCCCAGGCCGGTGGCTTAGAGACTTTAATTGGATTCCCATCTCTCTCTCTCTCTCTCTCTCTCTCTCTCTCTCTCTCTCTCTCTCTCTCTCTCTCTCTCGTGCTTCTGGTTTGCATCTAGCCAGGCCTTCCCTCACAGAGTGCCCATAAATTCTGTTGATTCAGGTAATGGGTGCCCTCAGTCCTGGCTGGGGGCAGAGGGGAGGGAGAGCTTGCAGATGCATCTCCACTGGCCCCACCCAGCTATTAAGAAAAGTTGCACCCACTGACTGGTGGGATGGTGGCCTGGATGGGACTTCTTGGAGGGAGAGTCCCGCCGCCGTTGTGTACCTCTTTATTCACGTGCACCTGCACTCGTCATCCAGCCCCACGGCCCTCCGTCTTGTCCCGGCTGCCGGGATTCTCACAGGGCCTGTCTCGTGTCACACCCGTGCACACACTCAGCTTAAACATCTCAGGGACTCCCTCTGGCTTTTAGGAAAAAGGCTCCTGAGGCCCTGCAGAGCCCGCCCTGCCCACTCCCATGCCCAGTTCTCACCCTCTCTCCTCCCCAGTCGCTCTGGCCTTCCTTCTGTTCTTCCTCCTTCCCGTATTTTCCACCCTTCACAGGGCCTTTGCATGTGATCTTCCCCCTACTTGGAATGCCTTCCTCCCACACCCCTTTGCCTTGTTCGTTCTTATTTGTCCTTCGGACTTTCAGGCCAACCATTACCCGCGCAGAGATGCCCTGTCCAGCCCATCAGTAAAGCAAGGTCCCCAGGGTCATGGGTGTCCCTGCGCTTTTCCTTCAGAACACTTGCGTGGTTTGCGACTGCAGCTGTGTATGATCGTTTCATTAATACTGGTCTTGTCCGTTGCACTAGAAGCTCCGTGGGAGCAGGGACCACTTTGTAGTCTGTTTGTGACATCTCTTCCCTCACCACTGTGTCCCCTGGTGCCATACATAATAGGAGCTCAGAAAATATTTAAGTAAAGGCCTGTGTGAACAGGACCCCTCACCTGTCTGATACTGTCGTGCTCTTCGGAAGCCTTCTGCCTCCCACCTTACTCAGGGCCTTCGGCGTACCTGCCACTCCCGAGCTCCCAGCCGCCCCATCCTGTACCACTGCTCGGCCTGCCTTTCTTTGCATGCACGTCACCTGGGGGGTTTTGCAAAGAGGAAGGTTCTGACTTAGTAAGTTGGGGAAGCCTCTGAGATTCTTCCTTTTTGACAAACTTCCGTGGACCCGTACTGCCAGTCGGGGACCATGCGTTGGCCCAGCCTGAGAGGTGGGGGTGCCAGGTCACAGCTGCTCAGAGGCCAGGTCAGCACAGAGGACGTCGTTTGCACAGGGACAGGGCACGGTCTTTGGCAGTGGTGTTCGGACCAGCGGTGCTGGAGACAGTTGCAAAACTGAGCCCGATATAGAGTTGGAGGCTCTGTTCGTGCTCAGCTCATGCACCACCCTTCAGGCCTTGGCTCTGAACTGGGGGGGGGGGGCTCTATGGATGTGACCCCTGCGACGACCCTCCACCGGAAAGGGATTCCTGAGAGGTTGGCATATGTTAAACCATCCAAAATTCCCTATAATTGCCCTCCCTCCCTTCCTCCTTCATCACAAATACCAACTAAAGGATTTTTGCTGTTTTCTGACATGGATTTGGGGGTAATAACCCTGAATGAGTGTTGGGAGGGGTTAGACACAGCCTGTGCTTTGTCAACTCGCAGCATCACTGTCGTCCTCACGCAAACACTTACCTAAAGAACTCCCGTTTTTTTGCTCAGTCCTGACCCCCTCGGCCCAACCCAACCCGTGGACCTTCTCAGAATGTGATTCAAGTGCTGTTTCCTTCACGTGGGGGGTTGAGGGCTGGAGAACCCACTCCGGGACCCGGTGCGGTCAAGGTCCACCCTGCCACCTCTCCTTGGTGGGCCTCTGTGTTCCTCTCCTGGGATCCCGCCAGTGCCAGCTAACAGGATTCTCTGGTCCCCGGGTCCTGTGCGGTTCAGAGCATAGGGGGGAACAGCGGGGAGGGCTTCCTGAGGCTCTTCCAGCAAGCTCCCTGGAGGCAGCGGTGCGGGCTCATCTCGGGGGGAACGCAAGCCAGATCCACTCTGCTGTTTCTTTTGGCCCCTCACCGTCCCGACAGGTCCCTGGATGGCCGGCTGCAGGTGTCCCATCGGAAGGGGCTCCCGCATGTCATCTACTGCCGCCTGTGGCGATGGCCCGACCTGCACAGCCACCACGAGCTGCGGGCCATGGAGCTGTGTGAGTTCGCCTTCAACATGAAGAAGGACGAGGTCTGCGTGAATCCCTACCACTATCAGAGGGTAGAGACCCCAGGTAGGCGCCGCCTCTCGGTGGTGGCGGTCGGGGGTGTCTGCGGCCACCTGCCTGTCCTTCCCCTTCCCCGGGTGCAGGGCTGCCGGGCGCACGTACGGTGCTCGGAGGGCTCTCATGCCAGCCTGGCCTTGACACTGATCTGCCTCTGCTCTTCCGGAAAGTTCTACCTCCCGTGTTGGTGCCACGCCACACAGAGATCCCGGCCGAGTTCCCCCCGCTGGACGACTACAGCCATTCCATCCCCGAGAACACTAACTTCCCCGCGGGCATCGAGCCCCAGAGCAATATTCCAGGTAGGCCCCGGGGCTTGCAGGCCGCCCCCCATCTCTGCGGGCCCTCCTCGGCAGTCCCCCCTCTGTACACAGCACTGGCCCAAGGGCCCCTGACTCAGACCCGCACACGCGTTGGGAGAGGACCCGTGGCTTTGGCTCCGCGCGCGCTAATGATGCTTTCCTTGGCACGGCCGACGGCGGCGTGACCCTTCCGCCCGGGCTCCGTGCAGTCATTTATTTTGGAAGCGGAAATAGCAGCGCTGTGTTTCTCTCACCGCCCTCGCCCTCGCGGGCCGAGGCTGGAGTTTGAGCAGGATCCCCCCGAGGGTCTGGGGGCCGCAGAGCCGTGGGGGAGCCGAGGGGGAGCCAGGGCCGGGCAGCCAGTGCGGAGAAAGGGGCCCTAAGTAGGTAAGCCTGGTGCGGGCTGCAGCCTGGGTGGGGGCGGAGGCCCCTAGCGGACTTTTTCCTGCTGGGGGAGCAAGGGGGCTCAGCTGTCAGCGCAGATGTTTTTGGAAGCCCCTCATTTACATGCAAATAATGAGTGAATCACCAGCACCAGGGCGGCCAGGAAAACTGCTTGGCAGCGCCTGGGCTGGTCCCAGCCTAGGAATCCTGCTGCCTGCCTTCCCGAGAGTGAGAGCAGGGAGAGCGCTCCGGCTTGGAGGAGCCTCTCGCCCCGCGTGAGTGCTCTGTGCCGAGCCAGGTTGACCACAGGCCCGTGCGTGGGGGCAGAGCGTTCAGAGAGTCCGGCCTTTCCGGGTCCTTCACAGGTGGCTCTGCCCCCCCCCGGGGGGAAGGTCACTGGGCTCACTGAGCAAACCTTAGGGAGCTAAGTCACGATCTGGGGTCCTCCAGAGAAAGGGATTGCAGCCGCTGCTGTCATTGAACGTGCAGCGTGCTGGGGAAGCCAGGATATCCCCTAAAGGGACGATGAGGAACAAGGTGTCTGTGCAGGAGTAGATGGCAGAGCCAAGGGGCAGCATGAGGCGTGTGCCCTTGGGAGGAGAGACGGGTAAGGCTGAGGCAAGTGCATGGCCTCCCTGGATGGGGAGAAGTTAGCTGGGCAGAGGCTTTAGGAACAGGCATGTTAGCCTGGGCAGTCAGGGCAGCGTGAGCAAAAGTGGTCGCAATCCAGGCAAGGAGCTGGGGGGTCAAAGGGCGTGAGGACCCCTGGGTCCAGGGGCTGGTGCCCTTGTTCTGGGGCCCACAGTTCCTCCGGCACCTGCTGCTGGTGGAGGGGTGTGGACGCGTGATGAGTGCAGTGGGGGCCTCGGAGCCAAACCACGGAGGCCGCTCAGTGAACCACCTTTCCTTCTGATTCCCAGAAACCCCACCCCCTGGCTACCTGAGTGAAGATGGAGAGACCAGTGACCACCAGATGAACCACAGCATGGACGCAGGTCAGTCCTAACCCTGAGTGCCCGCCCTCCCCGCCTCTTGCCTCTCCCACTCTATCCCGCCTTTGTGGAGTAGCCCCTGTGTGCCTGGTGGTGTGCCGGGTGCTGGGGGGAGAGGAGGGGCCTGAGCTGCTCTCAGTTTTAAGGAAGACAACTGGCAGTTACCGTGCCATCTCCTGTATGCCCTGATGGGGGACACCTGTGGCATTGGGCCCCAGGGAGGCCCACCTGCCCCAGCCTGGAGAGGTGGTGTCGGGGGTGGGCAAGTACCTTACCGCATAGGTCTCTCTTGAGTTGAGTCTTGGAGCCGGTGAGTGTTGGCCAAGCCATGAGGGCAGGCGAAGGGTATGCCAGGCAGAGTCATGGTGGGTGGGCGTGAGGGGGCGTGGGCGGGACAGCCCGGTGCATTCCGGGGGTGGTGAGTGCCCAGTGTGGCTGGAAAGTGGGGACGAGGCAGGAAGACCATCATCATTCAAGGCTTCAAGTGTGGCCGGGAGTCACTTCAGGCTTCATGCAGAGTCTGTGCCCCAGTGAGACGTTGCTGGCAGTGGGGTGGTGGGTGGGCTCGAGCACCGACACAGTTCAGGAGGGCCCGAGTCCTCCAGGAGGCAGGGTCCTCACCGGTGGAAGCCCCCCGAAGCATCTATTTTTGTGCAGGGACCAAACACGATCTGTGTATTCCTGCCATGAGGGCCCCAGCCCAGTTGTCTCCAGCCACATCTCCAGATGTTCCCGCGTCATTTGTCATGGGACCAAATTGGCTCCAAACCAGAGGCTCCTTGAATTGAACCCCAGCTGCCACATGGAATATACACCATGTTGCGTGTGGCTGGGCGAGGAGGAGGAGGAGGAGGAGGGAGGAAGGGGGAGCCGAGCAGATGTTCCCTCCCGATGGTAGGGGCGTGCCTGGTGCACAGGGAGCCGCTACCTGCAGCAGAGCCCCCCGCCCTGCACACGGCCCCAGACGGGCTGTGCGGATCTGGAAAGAAGCACGAGGGAGACGTGCCCGTTCGTCGTAAACACAGTTGCTCCATACCCAGCCGGGTGTCGTGGCACCTGGGGGTCTAGCGCACGGCCTGCGAGGGGGTGGCCTGAACCCGCTGGCATGCGTCAACGGCCTCTTGCGCTGAGGCCAGCAGCCGCTTCGGGCTCGCAGCTCCGAAGGGCTGGCGTGGGAAGAGGCCGGCCCAGCAGCATCTCTTCAGATGCTGCACTGCTCTTCTCACTCTTTCTCTCCCCTCCTTGCTGTTCCTTCTCTGTGGAATGATGACTGTTGCTTGAGAAAGCAGACCAGAGAGAGTCTGAGTACAGAATGCGCAGCCAGCTGCGCCCCCTCCTCGGCTCTCCCCCCGCCCCCCACTTCCCCTCCCTCCTTTCTGCCCTGTTCTCTCTGTCCCCTCGTCGTTTTCCCTCTCCTTCCATCAGTGGACCTGCAGGGCTCTGTGTGGACATCTGTGATCTGTCAGTCATAGACACGGGACTTTAGGGACCCCCTCCCCCAGCCAGTGGGTGGATGGGTGGGGGTCTCCAGCTTCCCCTCTCTTCTTGACTCAAAAGTTGTCCATTTAGAAACCAGTCGAGTTGCTGTCCTGGCAGCTGAGATGTGACAGTGTCCTAGTTGGGGTCCAAGGACCACCTTGTCTGGCCCTGTGTGCCCCCCAGACACACACCACATGCCCTTCCAGGCCAGGCCTTCGCGGACCCTCTTGTGATTTGGGCTGCCACAAAACGGGAAACCGGCATGTATTGAGTGCCAGCTGTGTGCAGTCACGGTGCAGTCACTTGTATATGCTCGACCACACTTCATGTCTACAAATCACACAATGGATGGTCGTATCCCCGTCTTATACCTGAGAAGGGGAAAAAAAAAATCAAGGCTCCGAGAGGTTAGACCACTTTGCTAAAATCCCGTAGCTGACACTGCTGTCACCCAGCCAGACTCCAGGGCAGTCGGGGAGCCCTTATGCCCCAGGACTCTTCGACCTCCCCTGGTGAATGGGGTTCTGGGGGAGCAGAGAAGCCCATGGCTCATGCCTCGCCCCAGGGAGGTTGGAGCTGAGCTGGGGAGCAGGAACAGACCCTCACGAATAGCCCACGGCACCTGCATGGGGGGCCCGGAGGGGGGCCGTGCACCCCATGGGGCTGTGACTGCAGAAGGGCTCCGCGGCCCCTTGGGACTGGATGAGCCCCATGTTTCTGAAGGCTGAGGCCGCGCTAATCTCTGGGAGTGCGGGCTGGACGGGAGGTGGGGGGCAGGGGGATCGGTAGCCTGGGCTCCAGGCCTCGGGCAGCACGTCCTGCGTCTTCGGGCAGCAGAGGTGCAGCTTTCCTGAGGCAGCTTGAGCATCCCGAGACCCAGGGAAGGGGCCGGATTGGGGTGCCAGGCCAGGTGGGCAGCTGCAGCCCTCTCTGTGCTGCTGGCGGCCTCGGAGCGAGGCTGGGGTGAGGGCCGTCCCTGCCGGGGCGCTTTCCTGGGGGCTCTGTGCCCTGTGCCACGGGCTCGGGTGGGGCCCTCACCCCATCGGGTCCCGGGGACCCCTCTGAGGTGGTCCGCTCATGCCTTCGTCCCACGGGTAAAACTTGGGACCCAGGGAGGGAGGGTCAAGCAAGGACACGGCGTCAGGGCTCCTGCAGGGCCTTAGAGGCTCAGCTCAGGGTTTTCTTCCTGCTGCGTTGAGCTGCCCCATCTTGAGGCAAGCGTTCAGTAATTTGGCTCTCTGAGCCAAGAATGTTCTCTTCGTTCTCACAACTGTGTCTCATCCCGCAGGTTCTCCAAACCTCTCCCCGAATCCGATGTCCCCAGCACACAATAATTTGGGTAAGTATTTCCTCATCTATGGGACTGTCACCCCCTCTAGCTGCAGTGCTGGCTGGTGGCCCGTGTGGGGAGGGGACCCTGACTGTGAGGCCCTGCTCCATCAGCTCAGCTCAGCCTGTCAGGTTTCTGGTTACAGTGATTCTGGGGTCACCCACAGAACAGAGTAACCTAAGAGCAGTGGTGGCAGGAATAAGGCGACCATGTGCCGGGTTTGTATTTCCCCTGGGTGGCAGTCAGACGTGAGTGAATGAAAATCCCCCAAACCTTGTGCTCAGGAGCCGAGAATCTGTGGTCAGCCAAGCATATGTGTGTGGTTTGATGCAAAGCCACGGGCGGCAGTGCGGACTCTAGCCCCCTGACTTTGGTCGACTGGTTTCAAGATACACTTACTTGGATTTTATCTGAGTATTTCATCTTATAATGATGTACTTTTTTTTTTTTTAATGATGTACTTTTTATTTGAAACAGCAGGATGCAGAGAAATCGGGGCGGAGAGGGAAAGCACAATTGCCCATCATCTCCCTGCCCGCCCACGCTGTTGTATCACAGTCCTTCTGATGCTTGCACATCAGGCGTGTGTATTTTGTGCCTTGCCAGTGGAGATCACAGGGTCCATCCATTCTTTTCATTCTTGTTATTTTGGAAATGCATTTCCATATTTAGACGCCTCCTCTCTCATCCTGTCTCATGATGTTTTGGAGCAGCTGGCCCACGTCTCCGTGGCCATCCCTTCGGCCGTTGGATTTCCAGGTCGGTTGTTGTGAGATTGGCTTCTGTGCTCCAGGAGTGGGGTCTGCAGAAACGCTCCGAACAAATGAAACATCCATTCCATTCTTATTGAGGGGATTTTTTTTTTTTTTAATGTGCTGATCTGGTAGTTTTAGAAAAATGTGAGTTTGATTTCATTTTGGCCTTTACTGCTGGGCTTTGATTTGTGGCTCAGGAAAAGAAAGAGTTAATACCCAAGCTCTGTGAATCAGTGGGGGTGGGGGGGTGGAGGGCGGGGTGGGGGGGAGCCTGGTTTTTATTCCCAGTTGCTCCCAGTCCTTGACTGATAGCATCAGATGAAGAAAAGCATTTAGAACATTGGGAGATGCCTGAGACCGCTTTCATACAGGCTGACAAGTGGGCAGTGTGAAAATGTGACTTTGGGCGAATCTGTTCTAACATCTTTGTAAAATAATATAGCTGTGAGTGTTGGGCTTTGCAGAGGGAAGGTCACATTCCTGACGTGAAAGGACCGATTGAGTTATTAAAAACAAACTCTGAAGGCTAGAAGCTGTGTTAACACTTGAGAAATTAAGGCCAAGACTGTGAGCTTGACTCTGAGTTCCCAGCTTTTGAGGTCAGCTGGCTTAGATTTAATTTGGGGGCCCTTTTTACTACCCACCTCCACCCCCGCCCCATGGCCAAGGCAGCCCTGTCGTCGTTCAGTCGACAGACTCTGGAACAAAGCCCTTGCCTTTGAAGCCATGCTGCCTGACTCAGTGGTTCCAAATGAAAGTTGTCCCACGTGTTTGCTTGCTGTGGTTTCCCTTCTAGATTGTGTGGATCAGGGTGACAGGATGGTTTTTGAACATGGACCTGGGGCAGAAGTGTCCCATTGACTCAGTCCTCCCTCCCTGCTGCCCTGGTCCTCAGGCCCCTTATCGGAGGGTTGAGAATTCTTAGGTCACTTCTCCAAAGGAAGGAATAGCCCCCAAGCCTGGTAGTGCAGAGTAGTGGCCAGTCTGCTGGGAACACCTGAACCGGAGAACGAGTCAACTGATGAGTCGGGGTTCAGATTCCTCCCTGCCTGCAGGGCCCCAGTACCTCCCACCTTCACCCATTCAAGACCATCAGCTTCATCCCTACCTAGAAAAATCTTACAGACTCCTGGCATCCTAGCTGGAAGGGGCCGGATGACAGTGACGATGGTGGCAAACATTCCATGAGAACTTACTGTTTACTGAGTGTTGCACAGGGCGCTTTGCGTGTGTTAACCAGTGTCCTTAACCACTTGTAAGATAACAGTATCACAATGTTTCAGTCTCCTGATTAGGAAGCCAAAGAACAAGACAAGTTACCTAATTCCTGCCAACTCACACAGTTAGGAAAAGGGGAAGCTCTGAATCCCGGCCTCTGGGATCCAGATTATGTGCTTCCATCTGCTCCCAACACTTAAACCAGCTCCCCCATCACCACCTCCTTCTCAGAACAAAGCTCCAGGATGCTTACTAACTTGTAGCCGAGGGCAGTTGTCAGGTTGAGGACCCTGGGTGGGAGCCCTGCCGACCAGCCTGTGTCTTCCTCCCTCATTGGTTCCCCAGGTGTTTCTCCCAGTCAGTGAGTGTGAGTCCAGGTAGGGGGTGGGGGGCGGGGGTCGAAGGGGAATGAATGATGCTATGGCCTTGTGGGGATCAATAAGGCAGGACTGAATGTAATTTTAAAACAAGGAGTGGGTGCAGTTGAAGTAGGCGGAGAGGCCAAGGGAAGCAGTGGTGGCATTCCAGTGGGGACATGCCTCCAGGCTTCCAGTGTCCCTGTTTGATTCATTCAGTCAACTTCACTGTGTTTCCTAGTCGGTACTGACCCTGGGGATCCACGTGACCATTCACGGTCTGACGGGCAGGCAGGAGATATCTGCGTCCCCCTGCGATGCATTGTGCCAGGTGCCAGGGGTGTAGGCGTAAGACAAACCGTAGAGGCCGAGGAGGAAAGTGCCAGATGGGGTAGGAAAGACGTCAGAGTTGTGGTGACATGTGTGAGTTGCACCCAGCAGGACAGGTGGGACGCTGTGAGGCTGAGAAGGGAAGGACATCACAGATAGAGGGAAGGGCATGAAAGGCCACAGCAAGCTCAGAGGACAGCTTGGCGGTGTAGTTGGTTGGGATGAGGAGCCAGATGGGGCTGCCAAGGCTGTGGGGCACTGAGAAAAGAGCCCTGAAGGCCATACTTAGTGATTCGCTTCTTGCCTACAAATAAAGTCATTGGCCCGGGGGTGGTGGTGGTGGTTGTTGTTATCTGATGACAGCTTCATAAAGATGAATCTGGCCACTTTATAGAAGTAAAGGTCTAGAGGAAATGGCTGGTGGCCAAACCCCACTACCCTCCCCCATAAATCAAAAACAAAAACAAAAACAAAAACACAAACCCACCTTAGGAAGCTGTTTTGGAGAGATGGTGGCAGGGCCGGGAGGGGCACTGAGAGAGGGCGGCGGGCCTGAATCAGCGGGCGCTTATCATCAGCCAGCTTTAACTGGGAAGCTGCAGAGGCGGGACACCCAGGAGCTGGGATGGGCTGGAGTGGGAAGGTGCCTGTGGCCATCAGGACAGAGGCTGGGGCTTGCTGCGCACACTTGGGAGCCGTTAGCCTGTGGGCAGCCTTTCCCAAAGTGGGCTCAGGGGGACAGGGTGTTGTCATCACCTGAGTTTGGAAAGCCTTGTGCCGTAGCCCCCGGACACTCATGTGCCAAGGCCTCTGAGCAGTCCTTTGCCCGTGGATCTGCTGGAACGCTTTGCTCTTACAACCTGCCGACCATCTGTGGGACTGCTCCCCGGAAACGCTGACAAAGGTTCGGCTGAATCCTGGGAGTGGATGAATTGCGAGAGGGAAACCCAGCTCAAGAAGGAAAGAAGGCCAGAGAGGGGCTGCCTCGGCGGGAGGGAGGGAGGTGGAAAAGGCTGAAGGTCAGGGGAAGGCCGGGCCCCCGCAGCGAGAGCGGAGGGAGGCCAGTGGGCAGGGGGGCAGGAGAGGCCCCAAGATGACATCGGGAGTTCGGGCACTGTCTGAGCACTTATGGTGGGGGGGGTGGAGGTCAGTCAGTGGTATGCACGGGGCAAATACAAGTCAGGATGACAACAGAGAAGGATGGGACATCCCAGGACATCAGATTATTTCCTGCAAAGAAATGATGCAGGGAGAGAGAGAGAACAGGACGTCTGGTTCGTTCCTCATTTCCTTCCCACTCCAGGCAAGAGGAGGAGACTCCTGCCACAGCGAGGCCCCTTCTGGCGCTGGGACGTGGGGCAGGGCCCTGATGAGTGACTGGGGGCCAGCTCAGCTCCTTGTCACAGGCCGGCTCCGGGGAGACCCGGCAGCTGTGTCCTGCAGCGACGGGATGCGAGCAGGTGACGTGCCTGTTGTTACACATCGTGCTGGTGCTCGATGAGTCACCTGGGCTTTCCTAAGCGACCAGGTCAAGGATTGGACCAAATGGAGGGGAAGGAAGAGGGAAGTGGAAGGAGGAAAAAGAGAGTGAGCAGGACGCTGCCAGTGAGTAAGTTGTCGCTGCTTTAGCGTGGGACACCGGGAGAGGAGCCCTGGCCCAGGAGAAGGGGCCGGAGCGGCAGGGGCTGCAGGGAGTGATGGGCTCCAGCGTGGCCCGTGGAGAAGGTACCTTCCTGTCCTGCCAGGCGCCCGGGCGTGGGGGCGGGGCAGCAGGAGGGCCACCGGCTCTTCCTGGAGGACCACGGGCTCTGGGACCCAGCCTTACCTTGTTCCAGCATCTGCCGCTGCTGCACAAAGCTTTTGCTCTGGCCTCATCAGGCGCTGATCCTCTGTAAGTTTAAGAAATCACGGGGATCCCCGGGGGGCTCTGCAGTTTAGTGCCTGCCTTTGGCCCAGGGTATGATCCTGGGGTCCCGGGATCGAGTCCCACATCGGGCTCCCTGCAAGGAGCCTGCTTCTCCCTCTGCCTGTGTCTCTGCCTCTCTCTCTCTCATGAATAAGTAAATAAGGTCTTTTTTAAAAAAAAGAAAAAAGAAATCACAGGCGTCCCAGTGGCAGGGATGTAGCCGCCGGCCGGAGGCCCTGGGCCCCCGACTTCTCCTCCGGTCTCGGCTGCAGGAAGGTGATCCGAGGCTGAAAGGGCGTGGGCTTCCCCCTGCACATGTCATCTTACAGGTTGGAATTGGTGCACCGGGCACGGGGACCCGGCCATCCTGGGCCAGCAGGTGCCATCCCTGGGGACGCCACTGGCTCAGTTGCAGGGGCCATGACACACAGAGCGACCAGGGGCCAGTTGACAGCCGCACGAGCTGGGGCTGGGAGGTCGAGTCTAGGTGGATGAGGGGCAGGCGGGCCAGGCAGCCAGGGACTGAGCCCCAGGGCTGAGCGAGGACCGTGAGGCTTCGTGGGGACTGGTGTGCAGGACAGGAGGTCACGCTGCCTTCCACAGGTGGGGTGGACCCCGACCAAGGCAGTTCATTCCTGTTCTGACCTTTAGCCTTTGTGGCTTCGGTGCTTCGCCCGCTCCCTGCTTTCGATTCATAGTAGAAAGTTAATTTCCCCCTTCTGTCGCCCCTCCTTTTCCTTTACCGGATTTGGATCTCTCGCACATGTTTTTAATAGGCATCCCTTAATCCAAGTATTGCCTTCTGGGTTTTATTCTGTTTTCTTTTCCTTAAACAAAACAGAAAGTCTGTGCCAGCTTGGAATCGGCCTTAAAACTGAAGCCAGCCAGTGCCGTTAGGCTGGCAGGGGGCCAGGCACGAATTCGGTGCCCCACGCCACTCGAGAAGTCTGGCCGGTACCACACTGGTGGGGGCAGGGAGCTGCGCCTGGGGGGAGCTGGAGGTTCCTGAGTCTCCGACACCTCTGCTCTGGGAAGAGAGATTAGCACAGACTCAGCAGTCGGGCCGGGAGCAGGGAGCAGGGCTGTTTGCAGGGGCGGCTTTGGGCACATGCCACCGTCTGCCACTCCAGGTGCGTTGAGTCTTTGGCCCGGAGAAGCGGAACCACCGCGAGGGAGGCAAGGCCCCCTAGCCCCGTAGAGTCGTCCTCCCAGACGGGCCTCCGAGTGGCATGTTTGCAGGTCCTTTTCAAGAAGCAACCTTACGCACAGTCGCTTCTGCGTTTGTTGGAAAACTCTTGAAATTAAGGCTGGCTGGCTTGATGGATGTGGGAGGAGATTGCCACCTGTGACAGATTTAAGATTTGCTATCAGGACAAGCTTCGATTTCCCTGCAGAACTTGTAAGCATTGTCTGTCCACAACCAGATAACAATTCATGTTTCCTTTTTGCCTTGTCTGCTGGGAAGCTCAGTCAAGCTGAGTGCTTTCTCAGTAGCTATAACCTCGTGGTTATCCTGTTTATAATATTTTCCTTTCCAGGATCCTGACTTTTTTTTCCCTTGTACTTAACCATGGTGTGGATAAGTGAGTGGGGAAGAAAATAAACCATGAGGACATATATGCTGTTTAAAAACAGGTTGCCATTCAAGGCAGAACCCAGAGGTGGTGACCATATTATGTTCTCATCTGCAGCTCCTCTTGCAGAAGAATCTTGAAGCAGCTGAGAGGTGCCTGGAGGGGCAGAGGTGAAAGGCAGGGCTAGGTTTTAGGTGTTTGCGGAGAATAGTGAGTACGTGGCAGGGGGCACTGCCCTGGGTGGGTCCTGCTTCTGAACACAGGCCAGCTCATCCAAACAGCTCTCTGTAAAATGGTACCCATCAGACTTTGCCTTGGCCTGACTGCACTGTTACCCCACCCCCCCACCCCCCCACCAGCATCTCCTTAATTATGTGTCAGGCTCCCGAGTCCAGCGTTTTCCACCACGCTGTCCAGTGTGTATCTGCAAGTTGCAGGGATGTTTGGATAAGGGCTCAGATCTGCTTGGGGGGCCTCCTGGGCTAGGACCCCAAGCACGCCTCTGCTTCTGAGATGCCTCAAAGCCCACAGTTCCCCAGAGTGGTTCTGGCACCGTGTTACCCGATGGGTGGCCTGTGGCTTTTCTTTTGATGGGTAGGCTGTGCCAGTGTTCCTGGGAGCCAAGCACTCGCTCTCCTGTCTGGACGAAGCCCAGGGGGTGCTGGAAGGTTTTATAATTTGGGGTGAGGACTCTGTTCTGTACTTTGCCGGGGAAGCCAGGGCCCGCACAGATCAGCCGCAGCTGCCTCTTCAGGCTGACCCACGCCAGATGCACAGTGACCCAGATGGTTCGTGCTAGATGTCTTCCAGTAAAGCTGCAGTCGCTGCCCAGACCCGGAACGTCCACGCAGCAGGGTCAGCAGAGCCTGCCCCCGGGCAGTGGTGGTCAGCAGTCCTTGCCCAGCGCCTCTTGGCTCTGACCCGTTGCCCGACCCCTTTGAGTACGTGGATTACGCTTGGATTTCTTGGGCTTTTTCTTCTTTTTTTCTTTTTTAGGGTTTCCAAAGCAACATAGCTCACATTTTAGTGACCACATTGTTTAGAATATAGCTTATCTCATTGGAATGTTGAAGCATCGAGCGAAGCCAGAGCCGGATGTGGCCCATGTGGCTCTGCTGAACCTCGGGCACAGGCCACTGGGCGCTCCTGCCCCGTCACTCCGCCCTCCTCCATTAAAAGTAGCCTCGGTCCCCTGCCTTCCCTCCTCTAATGTCGCTCTATCCTGGGAAGAGAGGAAAGGAGTGAGGATGCTTTTCCTCCCTCCCCTGCAGTGGAGGCCGCTTCAGGAGCAGGATGGACTCAGGTTCATGTACGTGCTCAGCTCTGGTTGTCAGCACCACTTACTGGGTGCTTGAGGCGAGCCCAGCACCTCCTCTGATGTCTCCTGGGCCCTCCGCAGACAGCGTCCTACCCTCCCCTTCGGGTCCCCCCACAGTGGCTGCAGGGACAGATGTGGATGCTGACACTTGGAGCTGTTCGGGTCGCTCACGGCCACACAGCTGGTCGGTGCCCAAGCCGAGAGCACGTCCCAGGCCGCCTGGCCTTCGAGCTTGCGCTCCTGACCTGGATAAGCCTCTAAGGCGGTGGTTTTCATCCAGGGGCTATTTTGCCCCTTCACAGAGAGCTGGCGATATCTGGAGCCATTTGTCACTGTCACGGCTTGGGAGGGGGAGACGGAGGGGTGCTGCTGGCACTTCGTGGGTAGACACCGACCAGGGGTGCAAACAAGCGGCCCGTGACGCCCAGGATTCCAGGCAGAGACTGCTTTGACCCAAGATGAGGTGAGGAGCTGGGTCTAGGTGTCCCTGGCCTCCCTCCAGCTGACACTTTCTGGGGGTGTGTGCCGAGCGCAGGGATGTTCCCGGTCTGCATTTTGTCACACATGTGGTAGGCGTTTTCTCCGCCCTTAGAGGGATTGTGGGCACAGACCCCACAAGTAGATCTGGGCCCTCAGCCCTGTAGGCACCTCCTAGAACAGCTTCTGATTTTTTTTTTTTTTTGCTTGTGCTTCACGCACCTCCAGACCCTGTAGAGCAGAGTTCCCAGGGGGCTCTCACTCCAGGAGGTGGCGCGCAGGCGGGAGCAGGGGTCTCCAGCCAGTGCTGAGGCCCGGCCCAGGGAGCCCTCTGTCCCTCGCACCAGCTCCCAGACGCACCCTGAGTAAGCGGCCGCTCCAGATACGTTGAAGAGCCAGAGCAATGGTCAGGCCGGAGGAGGGAGAAGGGGCAGGAGCCTCCCTGGCTCTCCAAGGAGGGATTCGAGTAGTCGGCGAATGAGGCGACACCCCAGCCAGGGTGCCGGGGAGTCCTGTTAGGGACGCTGTGGCCCCGATGCCAGGGAGGAAGGCTGGGAGCCGGGCCCAGGGCTGAGCTCAGACCTGCCGAGGTGTCAGATGAGGCGGGAGGAGGGCTGGGTGCCTGGGCAGGTGTGGGCCAGTGACCGGAGGTGACAGGAGGGCTAGGGGGTCCCAGGAAGGGTGACGGGGGGTCACGTGAGGGGAAACCTCTATTTCAGGGGTTCCCAAATCTTATAAAAAAGAGAGCCACTGAGGCAGCCCGGGTGGCTCAGCAGTTTAGCACCTGCATTCAGCCCAGGGCCTGATCCTGGGGTCCTGGGATCGAGTCCCACGTCGGGCTCCTTGCAGGGAGCCTGCTTCTCCTTCTGCCTGTGTCTCTGCCTCTCTCTGTGTCTTTCATGAATAAATAAAATCTTAAAAAAAAAAAAAAGGTGGCTTCAGCACAAACAAGGCCAGCCAGGCAGGGCAGGGCCGGTATGAGCTAACACGAAATCAAAGTGGCCAGCTCGTGGAAGGCCTTTCCAAATGCAAGAGTACTTTATCACGTTGGGTCCTGAAAGTCTAACACAAGGCATGAGGGCGGGGATCGTACCACCCTCCGGGAGGTCCCCAGCAGTGTTACAAAGCATCCAGGGGACCTCGTTGAGGAGCAGGTGACTGGGGGTCCCTGACCCAGTAGCCTGGCCTGTCTCCCCAGACCTTCAGCCTGTCACCTACTGCGAGCCGGCCTTCTGGTGCTCCATCTCCTACTACGAGCTGAACCAGCGCGTGGGGGAGACCTTCCACGCCTCGCAGCCCTCCATGACGGTGGACGGCTTCACCGACCCCTCCAACTCGGAGCGCTTCTGCCTCGGCCTGCTCTCCAACGTCAACAGGAACGCGGCCGTGGAGCTCACGCGGAGGCACATCGGTAAGGGAGTCTCCCCATCCGCTCCCCACCCCGTGGCCCCAGCAGCCTCCTGCCGGGACGTGGGGAGAGGGCCCGCTCCCCCAGCCAGCCCCCAAACTCTGTATCGCCCTGTTTAGGGGCCAGACCAGGAGAGTTCACGTGGCTTGGTCAGTCCCATTTCCCAAACACGGATTAAGTCTGAAGATGTAAAAGCCACCGAGGAAAACGCTCATTTAAGGGGGCGAGATGGGCAATCTAGGAGAAGGGCAATACATGCAAGTCTTTTGATAAAAGTACCCCTACGGTACTGATAGGTGGGGAGGCAGGCGGCGTCCGTCCTACACGGGTCATCTTCTGTTAGCTTCATACGCGATTATTCTAGGCTGCCTGAACAGCACTGGTGCTAACATGCTGCCTCCCAACACCCAGGACAGAGTAGAAGACCACTTTGTTTAGAGAAGAGGAAGCGGTGCGTGTGTCACTTGGGTTGCTCATAAAAGTATCATGCTAAGGATATTCATAATTTTGTGATCCCCAGTCCCTCAGAAGGCCATGGAGATGGTGACATAGGGTATTCTCGGCCCAGAGCCCCCCAGGGGTTGGTCTGAAGGGCTCCAGGGCACACTGAAGAGCTGGGCAGGGCAGCAGGAGGTCTGGTCCTCTGTAAACCGGAGCACCCTGGATCTTGTTCATATTAGATGAGGAAGAGTTCATTTGAAGAGAGGGTTTTTATAGTTAAAAAAAAAAAATTTGGAATTTTCCAAGTTTGGAAGCCGTGGGTCGGGACCTGTGGGCTCATTCTCCAGGGAATAACCTGATGCCCGGGGAAGAGCAGAGCCTTGCAGAGGCCGGCACACAGTGAGTGTGACAGCCGTTGACAAGCAGCGCCCTGCCACCAAGCTCGCAGCCTCCCCATGGGTCTTACTTTTAAAAAGATACTGATCCTGGGTGGCAGACATAGGTGTTCACTTATGCTCTTCTGTATTTTAAAAATAACATTTCAAAGATTACCCAAACCGAACACATTTCTGTTCTTCTGGTCTGGGTGTCCCCATCTCTACCTCTGCTCTTGACGGACATGACACGGTGGCCCCTCCACGTCACTCTGCATCTGCCAGCACCCTGCCTGTCCATGGCACACCAAGGAGAACGGGGTGGTGGGGCCGTAGTGAGACGAGGAGGCAGGAGAATACCCAGTGGCCCCCTGGTTTCTCTCCCACTTGACGTCGTGCCTGTAAAATCTGGCTCCTTTTTCCAGCCCTCTGGGCCTCTTCCCCAGAAGCGGCAACAGAGGCCTTCCCGTGCAGAAGAAGAGAACATCCCCTGGCTGAGGCGAGGACTCAGAGTGTTTACGTAACTGCTTGCTTGGATTGCAGAGCCAATTTAAAAATAATTTCTGTCCATCTGGAATGGATTTAAGAGATGAAGGAAAAGTGAATGATATAAACCTATGGAATGTTTTAGAAAAATGCACCAAGGGGAGAGGTACAGGAGGTGGCATTAAGCCATCCCTGTCGGGAAGGGCTCCTGGGATGCCTCGGGAGGAGCCCCGCAAGTCTGCTGAATGGGTTTCTGTAGTAGTAGCAGTAGTAGCTGCTCATGCTCCGCGGGCACGCGCTGTGTGTGGCACAGCCACCCGAGGAGGTACGTCTTAGTACCACCCCATCTTCCAGATGAAGAAACTGAGGCTCAGAGGCGGAGGGCCTTGGTAGCGGCCGCCATCTAGTCCGTGGCGGGGCACGTCCTGGAGACTTGCCCCGTGCCCTTTCTGCTCGTCATCTGCTCCCTCCAGCGTTAGGAACCCCACGTCGTCACTCCCCCACCAGTGTCCCCTGCACGGGTTTAAGCGTGGGCTCTGGGTCCTGTTGGTCTGGTGAGGCTGGCCCTCTTGGCGGGAGGCCCTGGGGCCGGGGCGCCCGGGTCCAGCCTGACCTCCTGTCTCTAGGGCGAGGCGTGCGGCTGTACTACATCGGCGGGGAGGTCTTCGCAGAGTGCCTCAGCGACAGTGCCATCTTTGTCCAGTCTCCCAACTGCAACCAGCGCTACGGCTGGCACCCGGCCACAGTCTGCAAGATCCCCCCAGGTACGAGCACTTACCCGCCTGCGTGCCACGGCGCGTGCCTGCGATGCCGGGAGCTGCTTTCCTTTCTCCTCCTGTGTTGCCAGCCTGGAGGTGCTTCACTTGGGGTTTCTCTGGGTCTTCCTGCCTGTGTTCTTCTTGACCCTCCAGGGAGCAGCCTCTGATGGATCTGCCTTCGATCCAGGGGTACCTGCTTGTTGCTTTGTGTGCACAGATGCTCAGGCATTGTGCTTCCTTCCTTCGTGCCACCAACTTGCACAGCATGTGGGCTCCGTGCGAGGTGCTTGAGGGAGGCGGAGGGGTTCAGGAAGCCCTGCTGCTGTCCCTGCAGACCTTACAGCCCAGCTGAGTGTACCAGACAAAGACACAAATGGGCTTAAGACAAGGGGGTCCTGAGCACCAGGCAAGCAGCACAGACGAGGTGCTCTTGGATCCAGGCAGGAAGAACTCCTTTAGCTGTTGGACAGATCAGGGAAGGCCTCGTGGAGAGGGCTTTGGGCATTGAAGGCTGGTTGGCATTAGGCACAGGGGGGCGGTGGAGTGGGGACCCTGCGGGCATTCCAAGTGGGGGGGCACGATATGGGCAAAAGCCCAGAGGTGACGGAGGGTAGGCCACGTTTGGGTGGCACTCTGGCTGGGGACAGCCATGTAAGAGATGGGAAATGTCTAGAAAGCACGATGGGGCCAGGCCACAGAAGGGCACGAGAAAGCTTTGCTTCTGTTCTGGGGGACCTCTTGGGGGTTTTCTGAGCGGAGCTGATGATTCCCACCTGTGCCCCAAGAAAGGGTATTGGGCTGCACCCCAGAGGGTGGCTGGATAGGGCCACGGCTGCGCAGCAACACAGGCGGGGACTGATCCCATCTAGGCCTCCTGACTTAGAAAACCAAGGCTGGGAGCGCCGGCCGAGCCCCCTGCTCACAGGCACGCAGCCCCGGCCACGCTGCTAGCAGAACGGCTGGTACTGAGGGCCACATGTTTTCTTGTCTCGGTGGCAGATGGATAGTAGGGCGATGGGCTTTGGGGCAGGGTCAGCTTAAGCATGTAGAAGGTCTGAAACAACGGTGCCCCGCGGTTTCAGTGCATTGTGGTCGTGTCTGCAGAGCACATCTGTGTCTCTGCTCTCGCTTAGTTCTCTCCAGGCATCCTGGCTCCTTAGGTGAGGAGACAGGTTCAGAGAGGTGAAGCTACCTGCCCAAAGGCACACAGCTGGTGAGTGGATGAGCTGGGATGAGCCTTAGGACTGTGTGACTGCCGAGTCCAGTGCTCCTATGCTCCTTGGCTCCGCTGGGAGCCAGGGCCCGCTTGCTGCCCTTTGTCACCACACTTCCCCTTGGAGAGAATGAGAACCGGAAGCTCTGTTGTATTCCTGGCTTGTTGTGGCTGCTCCCTTCCCCAGCCCTTCCCCCCCCACCTTTTTGGGGAGGGCTCGAGTTGGCTGTGGTGGGGTTCATTAGCGCATAGAGGGACCTTCGAGGCCAGCCTCCCATCTGACAAAGGAGACACGGGTTTACAAACAGAGAGCGACGGGTCCAGAGTCCCACAGCAAGATTAGGAGTCCAGTGCTGGCCTGTTACTAAACGCCACCTTAGCTCACCTTTTGGGTATTTCTAGCATGTGCTGTTGTCTTTATTTTTTCTCATTGATACATTCCTGGCACTTGGGTGGTAGGACTTCAGGAGATTTATTATAAACTTTATTTGTGCCTGTCTCTGGTTTTACTGCCTGGAGGGTTAGACACACATCTTCACTTTGCTGCGAATGTCACCCTGACCCAGCCGTGTGCCCAAAGGCCAAAGTGTGGCCCCAGTCACTTGCTCCTTCCTGGTCTCAGGTGGATTCACCAGGCAAGCCTGGGACCCTCTGCTGAGCCTCCTGTGGGAGCGACAAGCTGCGTGGCCCTTCTACTGGCACTCCTTCTATCTCAGGTCAAGGGCTCCTGTTCCCCGGGTGGCCAGCCATGCCTTACACAGCCATGGGCGTTCTGGCTTGGGTCCATAGAGTCCTGCCTTGGCCCTTTTGCCCAGGGCAAGGCCCAGCTCTCCAAACCATCACTCTTATTCTTGGTAGCCCACTTTACAGTTTTCCTCAGCATTCCCTGGCTCTGGGAGCTAGAGCTTACAGGCCGGTGTTTGATCCGCCCCGTGCATCAGCAGCACCTCTCCCTTGAGGTGGGGACGGCATCAAGGGCAGGGACCAAGGGGGCATGTCCCTAGCATAGTACTAAGTGGGGAGTGTGTGGCCAGCACATGGAATAACCGCGTGCCACTTGAACCGTGTGAGTTATGCCATTCTGGATGACCCAGGGGTGGCTTCAGCCAGGAGTGGGGCACTGGACGCGCATGCCTCTGTCCCCATGAGCACGGTTTTTGTTCTCTTGGCAGGGTGCAACCTGAAGATCTTCAACAACCAGGAGTTTGCCGCCCTCCTGGCTCAATCCGTCAACCAGGGCTTCGAGGCGGTCTACCAGTTGACGCGGATGTGTACCATCCGCATGAGCTTCGTCAAAGGCTGGGGAGCAGAATACAGGTCAGATCTGGGTGCCACATACCACGGGGACTCAACTGCACATGACCCAGACAGCAGAGCAGGGGCTCCTCAGAGTTGAGCTAGGCCACCCACACTGCAGAGAGCAGGGGCCAAGGGTCAGAGGCCACGGCCTGGCAGGCCATGAGGGCCTGAGCCACCTAGATAAGGAAGAGCTGGGCACTGTTTGCCCAGCACTTCAGTTTCTCAAGCACCATAAACAGACATGTTCCAGTTCTTCCTCACCACGTCCCTGGGTGGGGATGCTGGCATCACCCCCAGTGCATGGACGAGGGGACCAAGGCCCAGGGAGGGAAAGTGACTTGCTTGAAGTCACATCATTCGTGAAAAAACTGGGCCCAGAAATTGGGCCTCTTGGCTGCTTCCTCATTGTTCATTTTGGGCAGATGGTTTTAGGATGTCCCTCGCCAGGGACTTAAGTCTTCATCCCATTGTTCTTCCCTCCTCTGGGGCTCCGCCTTTGACTCGGGTGACCCTGGGGGTCTAGGGTATTAAAACGGAGAGGCAGATGGGAGATTTGGGTAGTCATTAAAGAATGAAGGTTATTTGCTGAGAAAGGTTTTTCTCAGAATTTCAGTACTGGTTTAAACATGGCACTGGTCGGGTCCACCTGGTCTGCTCTGTTGTCTCAGACCATTCTAGTTTAGGTTTAGGGAATTCAGTCCCTTTTCCTCCCCCAGCTAGACAGGGGTGTGCGAGGGCCAGGGCCATGTGCCCCTCCGGCCCCACGCTCCCCCTACCCAGCCCCCCACTCCTGTGGCAGACATAGAGGTGCCCACACGTCAGCTGGGGCCAGCGCTTTGCAAGTGACTCCCCTCTTCTCTTCATTTTTCCAGATGTTTGGAATCCATTTTGTTTTGTAGTCATTCTGCACCCAGGCCAAACCCATTTCAATACTGGCACTGGGCCACTGTTTATAATGAAATCCAGATGAGCATGACTTATGGAAAGTCAGATTCTCATTAGAGGATTTCGGTCCGTGAAGTCCTCTTCTATTTACCGTATTTTAGCTGCTGTTCCCTGGATCTGCCCCACGGGGCCAGGGAACACAGCACCTTGGTCTGTGGGGTCTCCATGACATCCACGGTGAGTGACCCACTGACCAGTCAAAGTGGTCAAGCCTAGAGGGTTAGCTCAGGAGCTTACAGCCCAGCGACCATAGCTGGAGGAGATGGGCCCAGGCCTGAAGGCCCAGCCCAAGAGAGATTTTAGCCCACCTTTTTTAGCCCTGGCTGAAAGCATTAACGGGATGAGTAAAAAGTTACAAAATTAATATTTTTCCTTCGGTGGGGAAGGGAACAGTATTTTTCCTTTAGTGGGGAAGTGGCAAAGACCCAGAGAGAGGTCTTTCTGCTCTTCCTACACCCAGACTTGAGTCCAGAGACTGCTCAGGCACCTCAGGTCAGAGAGGTACCCCACAGGCCCATTGCTAAGCCTCCACTCGGGCGAAGCGTAGGCCACACGAGGAGGGCGGTGGCCTCAGGCTAGCAGCCCTCGACCTGGCGCAGCACCGTGGCCCTGCAGTTCTGAGTGCTGGGAAGAGGCCCCTCGGTGGCGGAAGCCTTTCCCTAGGGGCACTGTGTCACCACGCGGGATGCATACTGCCAGCACATCAGGTCCTGTGCGGCCCACCACGTCACTGCCACCTGGCAGCCCTGCAGAGTGGCCTAACGGGCGGGTGCGGCCCCTTCCCAGAACAGTCTTGCCCTCCTTCTGCCTCTTGGGCCAAAGAGAGTAAGGTTTCATCCCTCCTGTGAGATGGCCCAAAGTGGGGAGGGCCCCGGGCCCAGGCCTCTCACCTCCAGCTGGCACCAGCGCCTCCGGCCTCAGCAGATAGCCTTTGGGAGCTCGCCTGCGGTGCTGCGTCATCAACCAGCCTGAATTTAGACAAAGTGCTTTGGGGAAAAGAAACGTGTGGTGTGCCTTGGTTTTTTCCAGTAATTGTTCCATGGCTCGCTCTGCTCGTAAGATTTTCCAAAATAAGGCCATAGATGGGAATTATATCAGCACATGGGGAACTGATGGCATGTGGGCTCTGTCGGCACTGTGCAAAAAACACCCCTCAATCAGACAGACATACGTCATCATGGCCTGCTGGGACTGGATCCGGGGCTGGAGATGGGCTGCCCATTCAGGATAGATGGGACCCTAGGGAGACCTTTGCTCAGGCCGGAAGTTCTTCACTGGGAGGCCTGTCACAGAAATGGGACGGTGGGGGGGGGGGGCAAGTGGGACACCCTAGAATTTGCCTTACACATTTAACCCTTGAAGGGCTACCTCCTTCCCCAGCAAGAGAACCTGATTTACTCAAGGTTCTTCCTGGAGGAGTTTGGTCCAGTAGTCTTAGCCCATTATTGAGACCTCTAGAGCAGGGGCTAGCAAGGTGCCATGGACCTACCTCTGACTCTGGGAAGAAGACCCTCACCGAAGCAGGAAAAAGTGTTCTGACTTGTATGTGTGTCCTTCTGGACATTTCTGAAGTCTTCCACCCCACCCCATCCTTATGTCTTGCAGGAGACAGACAGTGACCAGCACCCCCTGCTGGATCGAGCTGCACCTGAATGGGCCCTTGCAGTGGCTTGACAAGGTCCTTACCCAGATGGGCTCCCCAAGCATCCGCTGTTCCAGTGTGTCTTAGAGACGCTGGGTGTGAAGGGGGAGGGTGGGGGGGAGGGTGGGCTTTGGGGGGGAAAGGCCGTGCAGGAGGTGGAGGAAATTGGAACTCAACTCACTATTGTCAATGAAGAAGAAATTTTTCTTCCTCCATCAAAGCGGCGCCGACCTGTTTTCCAAAACACAAAAGCAAACCCAGAGATGGATTTTATGAACAGCTGTGTCTGCTGAACACATCTGCCCTTTGGCCCCAATTTGAAGGGCAAGAAATGGCTTCTGCTCTGGTGGCTTGAGCAAACAGGTAGTAGTTCACCACCTGCCCCCCCCCCCCCAGCCCCCTTCTGTTTTAATGACAGCAATCTAGGATGTCACTGTTCAGCAGGACATGGCCCTCGGCTCCAGACTGGAGTGTGAAGCTCACCTTGGGTGTTCTAGGTAGGGTGGAGCCTGCAAGGGCATGAGCAAACCTCAGGCCCAGCCCTCTGCCACTTTTAACGAACACTTCAACTGAGCATTCCTGAGCCCCAGCCTTCCAGCAGACCTTGCACCCCAGGAGTGGGCCTGACTGGGGCTGGGGAGGCGGGCTCATCGGTCTCCTCTCCTCACAGAGCAGACTGATAAGTGTGAGCCAGTGCATTCAGAACATGCGCACGGGGACAGTGGGGAAAGCTGGTGAGACACCTCCTCTCTTACATTTGTCCTTTCTCAACTTCAAACGGTTGGGAGATCTGCTGAGGCTCGGCGCTTATGCAATGTATAGTTTATCTTCTTGTGTTAATCTCAGAGATTGGAATTACGTGAAGTAGTCACATGAAGCAGGAGGCAGCTGTCGCATCACAGCATCTGAGCTAAGGCAGCATGACATGGCGTGGGTCTCCAGTCATCTGTAAGAGCTCACTTGCTATTCTTACGCATCTAGCTATCTTGGTTTACCTAGTCAGTTGCATTAATTAAATGAGCTTGATCAGTACGCTCGTTTAAACGTTTATTTTATATTAAAAAAAAAATCCTGGGTTTGGCACACTGATTGGGAAGCCCGTGTGGAGGGGGCCAGCAACCTCTCTCTCAAGGTGAAGCTTTTTCAAGTTTTGTTGAGAAGACACTTGCCAGCACCTCTGGGAACTGAAATCAACAGAAGCAAATTCACCAGGAGGGAAAAATCGCAGGCCAACGCAGGCCAATGAAAAGGGCTACTAAATTTTTTTTACACTTTTGAAAATTGCAGGCTTGGTGCACAGAGGTCTGCTGTCTTTCCCCTGGGACGTAAGATTATCTAGCTCATGGCAGAGGATCATCAGTGACAACTCTAGCAGCTATATTGTGTATAAGAAGTAATGCTCCCAGTGGCAATTAGTGAGGAAACTATTATAAATTATTTCAACTGGAAAAAAAAGCCCTCCTTTTCTACTGGCCTTTTGCAGGATCCAGCAGACAGAGTTGCCCCTTGCAATTGGTACTTTATCCCTTGTTGCTGTTTTTTCTATGAAATGACTTTATCCCATCTTTTTGCATGGATTTCTACCAGGAAAAGTAAAGGGATTTCCTATGGAAGTCCTGTCTTCTTCCAGGTGAAGGGGAGAAAGTATGTACTTTGGGCAGGTCTGTATCTCAAATGTGATGACGTTTCTGATGCCTTATGGAGATGTTGGGGCTTTCTGATGCCTCCCCGACAAGATCCAAATGCCTCTGCAGCTCTAGCTGTATGGTTTCCAGGTAGGAGAGTTGCTCTCCATGCTCCCTGAGGACACAGGAAGAGACGGGAGGAGCACCTTGCCAGACCTATATGCTTATCTTTTCACGGGGCTGTTGACACAGAACCGAGACACCACGCAACTCCTCTCTACCTGAGAGGATCAAATACTGCGGGTCCGAAGTTTGCCTGCTGTGACATGATCTGTGGACTGCTGCTTCCAGGAAGCCACCTGAACCTCTTGGATGTGCATTCCCGCTCCTGGTCAGGTCTGAGACTTGTGGTGTATTCCAGCATGACCTCTGCTCGTGCAATCGTTATGCCCTCCCTAAAAGCCAGGGCAGCGGTGTCTGCGGGCCTGCATTCTCCACCGGCTTCCTGATCCTGAGGCCTTCCTGGGGCACACAGCTGTCCTCCAGTTACTTGGGAACCAGCTTCAGGTACAGCACAGTTTGGGCGATCCAGTGGCTGCGCTCGGACAGTGTCTCAGGACCCCCGATGCTCAGAGCTGAAGGCTACTTTTAGGAGGCATGACGTTTTAGTTTTGTGTTTCTCCAGAAGCCGCCTTGGCCCCTCTCCTTTCCAGACTAGACCCCTGGAGGAGGAGGTGAAAGTGTAGGGAAGCCCACCTCTGGAAGAAGTTCAGTCGTACCTAGAGGTGAGGACAGGCTGTCCTTCCCATCCTCAAGGCTGCAGCAGTGTGTTGAGGCTTGTGTAACATCAGTGTCCTTCATTCAAGTCACAAAGCTTGTTTTCTTAGTTTGAAAATCCTGTTGAATGAATGGCATTTCCACGTTAAAAAAGAGCTTTCTAAAGAACAGTTGATGGGGTCAAGAGAAAATAGGGCCATCTAAGGGGGGGTGGGTGTTGGAGAGCAGTTTGAAGTAGTTGTCAGGGCTCCCTGCCTCCCCCAGGAGCCGGCTTCTGTTCTCTTCCCTTTCCTCCCCCACCCTCCCCTTCCTAACTTTAGTAACTTAGGGCCTTCCAGCACAAGCAAAGTAGGTAGCTGCCCCAGCGGGTTCGGGTTACAGGCCTGTGCTGGAACATCATCTCAGTTGGCCACCTTCCTGGCGGGCTGTGGACGAGCTGACATTTTGAGACAAGCCTGGAGTCAGGAGCAGGGACTTTGACTCTTCTCTGAGGAAGCACACACATGAGGGCAAGGCTGCTGGCAGACTTTCCCGTCGTCCTCATGTTGTCTGTTTTTTTTTTTTTTATTGACCGTGGTGATTAATTTTTTAAAAAATCATTAATGTATTGGAATTTGCTATAGCACGTATCTTGTGCTTAGTTTCTTTTCTCCATCTTCCCTTGGCTTCCTAGAGTTTGGACATATTCCAGGGCTAAATGCTTTTACTCAACTGCAGGAAAAGGCTTTAAATGGTGTGTGCGTGTCGCACATGCATGTATGTAGTCTGGGGAGAAGGCAGGTAGAGTTTCGCTCCGGGTCCCAAGCTGCCCTTCCTGAGGCTCTGTGACGGTCTCTGCAGGGCCAGAGCTCACCTGAGGCCCCTCTCTGTCGTCCTGAAGAAGGATGAGGAAGGAAGAGGAATCTGGGGACTGTTCACAGGCCGGTTTCCAAGGGGGTTACCAGTAGCAAGAGCGGGTGTGATTGTAGTTCTATACCCTAGAGCTCCGTGTGTTGTCCCCACTTTACTGGAAGAAAACCTCAACACAGCTGTGCTGTACCATTTTTCTTTTTGTGGCATGAATGTTTCCTTCTAGATCATCCTTTTGAGGAGGATCAACTGCTTCTCAAGAGGGTGGGGAAGCAAAACATGTACACAAGAGGGTATGGTTCCAACCAGAAGAGGAGGAGTCTGATGGAAGGGTGGCAGTCCGTGGGGAGATGACGCCGCACAGGCAACTGTCCAGAAACACAGCTCTCCCATCAACTCGCCTACCGTGTAAACTGGATTGAGAAACTTGCTCAGTGATTCTGTAATTGATTTTTTTTTTATGCTGAAGTAATGTACACTCTAGCACTCTGGTGTTTTTATATTTATGTAATAATTTCTTAAAACTGTTCAAGACAGAGAACTATTTAATTTTTTGGAGAAAGTTGGAAAGCAAAGGTCTCTCCTCCCCAGGGCCGTGGCTGGGAAGAGTCTGGGGCACAGCCAGGTCTGAAGGCTGGTGGAGGGCGCAGTGGCCCAGCAGCCAAAGCCACCACCCTGGGCTGACTAAACACGTGGCAGCCTGAGTCGCCTGTACGCCCTTTCCCGGGGGAGGGGGGGCTCCGAACCCAGCCCCTCTCCCTCCTGAGCGGTGAGAACTTCACCCAGAGGGCTGGAGCCAGAGCCACCTGCCCTTCTTCACTCACCTCCCTGCTGCTGTGGCAACTCGGCTGTTCCAGACTCTGTGGTGGTGTTGACATGGGCAGGGGGGGTGGAATGTGGAGGATGGTGATTGCCTTCACTTCTCAGCCAGCCTGACCTTTAATACCTTTGTAAAAAGCATGTACGTATTTATAGTGTTTTAGATTTTTCTAACTTTTGTATCTTAAGAGCAGAGCACCTGTTTAAACATTGTACCCCTGTTAAAGATCTGTGTCCTTGCTCTCTTTTCCCTGAAAGTGCCCATCTAATAAACTTTTCATTGAAAAGCTCCTGTTCCAGGAGCTCAGTCTCTTCTTGCTGGGGGAGGGAGGGGAGCCCCGAAGGGTACTGGGGGCTTCAGAAATGCCCCCAGTCCCCCTTCTGCCCCACCCAGCCTCTCTCACTTTCCCAGGGGGCCAGCCTGTCCTCCTGTGCCTGCAGGAGCCTGGGGCTCAGCCCAGGAGAGGTCAGAAGTTTCACCCTGGGTACATCTCCCTTGCTTCCCACATCTGCCCCACACCCACCCCCTTGTTGCCACCCCTGTGTTGGCACCAGTTGCTTGCCGAAGACCTTCAAGCAGGGGAAGTGAGTGGCACCAGTTTCATCCTCCCATAGGCACTGAGGTAGTTTCAAGCCACATCAGTAAGCAGGTTTTCACATTTTGCAGCTCTGAGGTGTTTGTCCGTGCCCATGAAAACTCCCCAAGGAGAAACACTACTTGGTTGAATCTTCACTGACCCCGGATAATGTGGGTTAAGAAATAAGACTATAATCCTTTAGCCAGGCTCCTTCTATGCGTTTTCCTGCTAAGGAATGCCATAAACACCTTCCCTACCAGGAGGGAAGCCTATCTCCTCGGGCTGGCCCGTCTGGACCTAGAGATTTGGCCCCTACAGCCTGTATCAAATTCCGACCTTCGGAATTACTAGTTCTACCCTTCTGTCCCTGTCTTCCCCAAGGTTTTAGCCTGCATTTCTCAGCAAATGACTCAAATCATGCCTCTAACCCAACCGGTTCCTTCAGATCCACGATTTTAAATTCCAGCTGCCTAGTAAACGGGATTCAAACCACAACAGCCCCAACCCGAATCGTCTTTCTCAAGCTGGCACCCTGCAGACTCCCAATTTTTATCAGTGGCCTGTTCCTCTCCCCCATCGTCCAAGTCCCGAGTGGTTCGATACCTTTCTCTCCCGTGCTCTCTATCCCCTCCCTTTCAGAAAGGCCCCACTCCCCAGATGTTCTGGCTCTCCCTGGCCCTCTCATGCCATCTTCTCTTTTTCTTGGGCTTGCGCCTACTTCTTCTGGGTCGGTGTTCCTAGACCACTGCATGCACCTGACATTCCTTCCTGAGTGACCTCATCTCCCCGCATGATTTCAAGCCACATTGATGCTAATGACTCCCAAGTCAGTATTTATAGCCCAGACATCAATCCTAAGTTTCAGACTTGTATCCAACAGCCTACTGGCTACTGGTGCGTGGAGGTGCCACAGTACCTCAAAACTCAACAACTATAAAAAGGGAATTCATCATTACCCTCATTAAACCACCTCCCTCTCCTCTGGCCTGACAGCCCTGCACTCCTTCACTCCCACATCCACCCAGTCCTGCTCGTCCTCTTTCCTGGCCCTACGCATTGGGTCCTTTGCACTCAGACACCTGCACCAGCTCCCCAACAGCTCCCAGCCTCTGCCTGCTTTCCAGGAAATGCATCATCCACACTGCCCTGTGACCCTCATGACCTTAGATGCCCCCTACCTGGGCCCCAGCACACGCTCTCAAGTCTTTTCACGGACCACTCGGCTCTCCTCACTTGGCCCCTATCTGGCCGTCACAGCTCACTGTTTCAGTCTGCAGCCCAGCAATGAACGGGTGGTGTAGTTCCTTACATACTCCTCTCCATGATGACAAGCCCTCCTCCCCAGTCTGTGCTCACTGCCCCTGGGCCTGACACCCCAGCAGGTCACCTGAGAACTTTCATGAATGCTGAGACTCAGGTCAGACAACTCTAGGAAGCCTTTCACAGATGTATCGCCAGTCCACCCAACTATGTGGTAATTGTGTGTTTTCCTCTCGAGGCTCGGAGTTCCTGGAGAGCAGCACTTACATCTTATTCTTGTACTCCTGCCTTCTTCGGGCCACCATTTTTTGCTGAGTAAATGAATCAGTTAGTGTCTCTATCAAGCAGGTTCTACCTCAGAAATATCTTTTATGTCTGCTTCCACTGTGCCCCCCTACACGTGCTTGAAGGAATGCCCCCAAAATACAATCCTGATTACTGTTTATCATAGCTGTCCTAATGTTCTGTCCCCTTCTAGTCCAAGGATGGCACGCAGCAGAATTACCACCACTCTGTTTATCCACGGCAGAAAGCAGGAGTCCCGGTACTCGGTTTGTTCTCAAGCCTCAGAATCCTCAACACAGCAATCAGGCAGATCGTGCTAATCAATTAGTTTTGGCTACTACTGCTGCCAGATTCCCCAGGAATGTAATTCTGGTTGGACGCCCTTTCCACTCTAAACCCCTTGGGCTCCTTGATTCCCTCTTGAGTAGGCAGGGGCTCCACGAAGTAGTATTTCAAGGTTTTCTCCAAATTCACTCCATCCTTATTTGCCATCATTTCTCTAACTGGCCTATGTGGGTTTTCCCAACATAACCCCTTGCTTTCTCTCCATACCTCTGTCCATGCTGCAACTTCCACTAAGAATTTCCTGCCTCTATTCACCCATCTGCCCCAATTCATACCCTAGCCCCTGGACCAATTTAGGCCTCAACTTCTTCAAAGTCAGTGGGTCTCCAAGCTTGGGCCCTGGCCAGTAGCTTCAGTAACCACCCTGGCTGGTAGAAACATACTTACCTAGGCCCTGCTTGGGCCCTACTGGACCAGAAACTCTGGGGTGGGGTCCTGCTGGGCTCAAGCTTGAGAAGACCGCTCCAAGATGTACTCTCTGCTCTCCCCAGCCCACTCCGTTTGCTCCTTCCTGCAGCAACTGAGGGTTCACAGCACCTCACCTGTGGCCTCGCATCCTACCTCTGTGGCTTGTCTTGCTTCCCCCCATCACCTGGCTAGGACAAGGAGCTTCCAGAGAAAAGCTGCATCCTTACCCACATGTGCTCTGCTACACATGGAACAGCCTGGTACCAAAAAGGTTCACAATTAGTGCTGGACCCAGAATCCAGTTCTGGCTCTCACCTGGGTAAAGGAACACGTGACAGTTGCTCTCCTTCAACTCCAGCCTTGAAGCCTTCTAACTTCAACACTGATGACATCCTGCGAGCTTTCCACAGTGGCAGGATAAGTGCAGACCACATCCCTGGGCTTCAGAGGAAGAGGATGGTCTCCTACACTGTGCCTTTCCTACCCAGGCCTCCCTCAAGCCACATTTTTGTAGCATTAAAGCCACCTGGCTGATGAGAGAAGGGAGAGGCAATGACCGATCACCTCCTTCACGGGAGAGAACCAGGGGGGCCGGTCAGGAACAGCCTTGTGTGACCTGCCTTTGCCTCCCGGATCCGTGATTGGGGGGAGAGAGGGTCTGGACCTCTCGACAGATACAGATAGAACAACATTTTAGAGGAAAAATTTTTCTTCCCAAACCTGTGTTCCAAAGATGCGGTAATAATCATTAGGTCCAGGTTGTGACTCAATTCTGTTCCAACAGGAAACAAGGTAGAATGACAAACCATTAGCAGCTGGAATGGGGCTTAGTGGTGGTCTAACCGAAGGCCCACGAGGTTGCTGTTACCACTCTTAATTCTTCACTCTGCACCTCAGAAAACACCGCAGAATCATGCAAGATGCTTCCTAGCCTAGAAGAACGTGGCTTTAAATGCTACAAACACACACACTAAACTCCAAATAAAGAGATCTACATTAACAGCAAGACTCATGATATTAATAACAAGCTAAGTAGTGCCAAAAATACGAAACTGAGAATTTCTAAGACCTTTACTGCAACAGCTTGGATGCCAGAGACGCCAGGATGGATCACTACTACACCAAACCCCAAGTGGAATCTAAATCAAAACGCGAACTTCGCCCTGCACACCCAGCCTGCTGCTTTTAGGAAACGTACAAACTCTGGGAAAGCTCATCGTTAGGGTGTTCTCCAACCCGTCCTGCATGACGGTGGTAGACTGGACCAGATTTTTCACTTTCTCCACCTAGCATCCTCTCATAGGATTCGGTATTTAGTGACCGAATGCCACACCTAAATTGTTTGACTGCTTTAAATGTAGGGTGCGGGTGAAGGCCTCTGACTCGTTACACAAGTCTCTGAAGCTCTGTCTCCATCAATCAGAATGTTCAATGAATCAGAACCTCTGACCACACTAGACACATGCTCGCTAAATTTAGCTTTGCATCAGTAAGCACTCAGAATAGTTCATGGAGATCTCATCTTACCCTTAGACAGTGATTCTTCTAAGACTGCTTTTCTGTGGCAGGCGCAGGGTAAGGGGCACTCCACGTGCTCTCTCGATGGCCATTGTTAAGAGACTGGCCTAACGTTAAAGGAATCTGACAAGCTACGGCGAAGATATTTATCCCCACCTCTCCACAGTGGGTACAGGAAGGCAGCCATATATCACATTTCACATGTTACAAGTAGTCTGCTGCAATGGCCTGACATGCTCGATGGTCCTTGAACCACATTCCATATTACTCAGCCATCCAAGTCTAGCGTCCCTGAATCTCTTGCTTCTCTGAATTAGATGTGGCCAAGTTCTATAAATAGAGAGAAAGCAAACTGGTTCTGTCAATCTTCTCATACTCTGGCAGGATAACATATTTTAAAATTATAAAAATATCTATGTCTTCATCACTCTAAAATTATTATATAACACATGATTTTCTCAGGGGGGGGAGTTTATTTTTGTCTCTCCCTACCTTCCAACACTCTGGACCTTCAAACTTTGTGATCAATTTCATCAAACTAGCATATGCAAATCACAACCAAAAATTCAGGACCTACTATGTGCCTGTGTGTTACACAAAGAGAGAAATGTTGCAGGGGAAAAAAACACGAGTCTCTCACTTTAAATCCCAGACAGTCCATAGTAACTTGTGTTGGTGCGTGCATAGGTCATGTTGGATAGACTGCAACTTTTTTTTTTTTTCCTGAGAGGGAGAGGGGTGGGGAGGGGCAGAGGGAGAACCTTAAACCAGATCCACGCCCAGCACAGAGCCCCATGCAGTGCTCGATCTCCTGACCCTGAGATCATGACCTGAGCTGAAACTAAGAGTTGGACACTTAACTGAGACCACCCACCCCCCACCCCCGCCCAGGTGCC